TTTTTTTATGAAAATATCAATTTGGGGCACGTTCGGCCCCTTTTGCCGGGGCACATTCGGCCACCCCGAATGCAACTGTTATTGTGCCAAGTGACGTCACTATTGATAACGTCACCCAATTGACCACAAAAATAATATTTTTACGTCGCAAAAATTAAGTATTTTTTTCTTTGTATTCACTGATTTGTTCTGGACTTATTTTCCAACAGAATTGAATGAAATTCCATACACTTATTAGTAAATTGTCTTCTCTATCCTTCATGCCATACTTGCCCTGGTAGGGGCCGGATTTACCTCAGGGCGGGGCTCGTCCGGCCCCCAACTCTCTCGACCTAAAAAGTCCAATAATTCCCAAAATATGGTCTTGTTTACGATTTGGTTATTAGTTTATGAAAGACAATACATTTCTTTTCTAAATGACATATATAAATATGCATTTCAACAGCATAGTACATGCCTTCCATAACGTCTTGAAAAAAGAAAAGGGGCCGTGTTTACCCCGGTCCCCCCTACACATGTATTATACATGTGTAGAGGAGACCGGGGCAAGCCCGCCCCTGTTTTAAAACTATATTATAAATTACAACATATCATTATCTCAGACATCAGGACGTGGGAAATGGCTCCTGAGACGTTCTAGAAAACAAAATGTTCATGGGGGAGACCCCACAGACCCCCCTTACGGGAGGGGGAAGACCCACTCCCGTACCCTCCCCCTGCTCGCGCTTCGTGGGGGGGGGTGGTGCCTTCGGCAACCCCATGTCGGGGCTTACACATGGTAAAGGGGCTAGCTACGCGCCTGTATGTATGGTAATGACTGGCTAAGGAAAACTATCTAAACAGGACTTCATGTCAATACTTAAAAATTAAGTATGTGCAGTAATGACCGGCTAAGCTAAGGAAAACTATCTAAACAGGACTTCATGCATGTCAATAATAATTAAGTGTAATAGGACGAGGAATAGTGATAAAGATAGTGCCGTCACTGGAGCTCGAACCCGTGACTCTTGGCTATCCAGCCCCATGCTCTACCGCTGAGCTAGAGGGAAATTCCCTACAGCTGACGCTTGTAAGGCAATCTAATTAATCCACATCTTTTACATAAGCATGTTGGTAATGATTGGCTAAGGAAAACTGTCTGAACAGGACTTCATGTCAATACTATGGTATATAAAGCAATTTTGAACTAAGTTATATGAAATATATCTTACAAAGAATTAATATTTATTCGAGTTTTTCTTTTTTTAAGGTGGCTCGACACATCGTCATCAGCGTCCATTTTCGTGACGTACTTCCGGAAAAAGTACAGCTCGGACTCAATTATCTTGATCGAAATGTGCATGTACACCGTGTCGTCATTTCCGTTTTGCGTATCGGGTATTCAATATCGTAGTGCAAATTATAGTAACACCTGGGCCGTTTGCGTTTAAACGGTCAAAGCGATCGGACCACTGTTGTTCGTTTATTAAATAAGGTAGGACCTAGTTATCTGATGCTGCTTTCAGGCGAGCCTTGAGAAAGCCTTGCAAGTCTTGCATACACATTTGTAGGTCCGCCAGGAATTATACCCGGAATTGTTACATTTATAAACGGTTAAACCGGTTGTTCTGCATAAACGAACAGGCCCCTGGTAAACAATAGTAAGTACACGTGCGTGCCGATGATATGTCAACACCCGATATCGAGATTTTACCGGGAAATGTATAATCACACGTACTTCAGGAATAAAGCTTTCCAATTCATTGACATAAACAGACTCACGGGAAGACAGTGACATGAGACCAGACGACCTCAAGAAGGTCATATAGGAAACGCATGGAATGCGGACGTACCAACCTCATATGTGCATATCACGTGCTTACACGAGTTCATAAGCTGAGGGAGTTTCGCTCTGTCGATTAAATCGTGTTTACAAATGTAGTCTACTTACTCTGTGAAAATAATGTTTTGTAAAATATCAAGATACCTATGAAATGCATGTGTGAGGGCACGTGAGAACGGCATACCATGCGATAGCCTCTGGTCACATATGTACCTGACATGTAATTATAAATATACCGTGAGTTAGCGGACTGTGGAATGATGTCCAAAGTGTACATGACTGAGGGTAATTTGGTTCCATTAAAGAACAATAAATTGATAATTTTGATATCATATTTTTGATTTATTTCCATCATTTGTTATATGTAAACAGAGACAACTGTCATTGTGTAAATGTCATCCCTCTGCAAAAAGTTCCGATTTTTTTCAAGGAAGATAACTCTCACCCGGATCAAAGTGATTGTAAAATGTAAAATAAATTAATTATAAAGCCATTGTGTATATTTTGTTCAATTTCCCACTCTATATGTATAGATCTGTGTGTCCTGTTTGCTTTTAGCTTGTAGATAATCACTTTTATCCGTTCAAATTCAATAAAAAACACTTTGTGTAACATGTGTTACATATTTTGCGATAAATAAAATATTTGTAGGATTAATTATGAATGCTTCTTTTCATTTTTTTATTGTTTTTATTGTTCCGAACAATGCCACACACAAAAAAAAACGGAAAATATTAAAAGTGGCGAAAATTCAATTTTTTGGTATTTTTTCCAAAAAATTCCCCAAACTATCGGAATGTTTAGATTTTCATAAAATTAACTCTACATAGTTGCATAACCATTATATGAAAGTTTCAACAAATTTTGCTGGTTAATTGCGAAAGTGTGGAGCCACCTTAACACAACATTAACCGAAATAATCAAATATTGCATTTAATATGAGCTCTCTACATTTTGCATAGGCCCATCAACTCTGTGTCGTGCAAGAACTAGTACTGCTGCTATTTTATATACTACATGTAGTACATGAAATGTATAGAAACTGTTGAATCACAGGGTACTAGCCTCGTCTGTCAATAATACATTGATCTATAAGGTTGTGTTACTGGTTGAACAATGCTGTCTAATGATAACGGCTGGGGGAAAACGACCGTTGTTGCAGACTTCAAAATTCTGATTGGTTACATGTTATTTGACCAGAAAATTTAGCCTACGATTAGGCCTAGGCCTACGATACTTTTACATAAAGTTGAAACAAACATAAGCAATCAATGTCACGAAGTTTGTCAGAGGACATTTAGCTGATTGGCAAATTATAATTAGTATCACATATCAGTGTATATCAAAAATGCAAATTAATGTTGACGAAATAAGATCCTACAGTAATAAAAATGCGACATGCTAGAAAAGCATATCAATTATTGAACATCGTACATTTATGTTTACAAGTGTGACGTACCATGGCTGCAGACATTTTGCTTTCTAAATTTTGATTCGGTATTGGTTCCGGAACTTGGTGTGCGTCCGTAGCCATATTGATTTCAGGTGTGAACACTTGAGATCTCATAAATCTCACGTTTAAGTTTAATTATTTGATAGATGATATAAAGGTTTGAAAATAATCAAATTAATTACAATAAAAAGAAAGAAAAAAGAAAGAAAAGAAAAACACAACTGCAACAAGATAGTTCAACTTGAGCAGAGACGTACATATCATGTACTACAGAGATTGGACACTGTGTCTCTTTCTCATGCCGAAGCGCACCCGTGTCGGGTTGTCTATTTGGATGACATCGATTTCATTGCAACGGCTTACGTTATGATGATATTTGGCAGAGGGAGAATATCCCAAAATATACGTTTTACTTATAACAGAAATGAAGTAGAAATTGTGAAAAATTTCAAATATCTTGGTGTTCATTTTACTCAAAATGGTTTCACGCAGTTAAATATTAGACAATTATACGATAAGGGCCTTAGAGCAATGTATGGTGCTATTGCTAAATGCAGAAACCATAATCTAGCAATTGACTGTAAATTAGATATTTTCGATAAAGCTATCAAGCCTGTCATGTTGTATGGTTGTGAAGTCTGGGTTTTTTGTGATTACAAACTTTTAGAACGTTTACATTTAAAATTCTGTAAACATATTCTTCAGGTGAAAACATCGACACCCAATTTCATGATTTATGGGGAATTAGGAAGATTTCCTCTGAGTATAAATATCAAAGTTAGAATGATTGGATTTTGGGCCAAATTGTTAGAACCAATACCTAATAAGTTAAGTAATAAAATGTATAAAATTATTATAAACTATAATACTCAATGGTTGAATTGTATTAAAAATATCCTTGATGAATGTAATTTAATAAATATATTTGAAAGTCAAGAATTCCAAAGTACCCAATGGTTGAATAATACAGTTTTCCATATACTAAAAGATAAATTCATTAATAATTGGAGAAGCGATGTTTTCAATTCATCTAAAGGGACCAATTACAGAATTTTTAAAAATGACTTAGTATTAGAAAAATACCTGCTAGATCTCCCTCCAAGACTAGCAAATGTTTATTGTAAATTTAGAATTTGTAATGTAAAATTTCCTATTGAATGTGGTAGATGGAATAACATTCCAAGAGAAGATAGAAAATGTATGTTTTGTGACCTAAATGAAATTGGAGACGAATATCATTATTTATTTAACTGTAATGACCACCAGATAGTGCAAAACAGAAGAAAATTTATGTCGAGATACTATTTTGAAAGTCCTAGTACTTTAAAGTTTAATACATGATTTAATTATGTCAATAATGAAGAACTAATTTCACTTATAAAATTCCTTAAGCACATAATTGAGCGAATTAACACTGGCCATTAACACCATGATTTATATATGTAAACTGTATTATATATATATGTATATAATTCTCTACACTGTAACCAGTTTGCGAGAATAAAAACTTGTCATTGTCATTACGATATCGTTAGAGGATTTCCGAAAACGCAAATTACGTCTTCGAATATTATACTGTTGTCCTTAATTAAGAAGTCCATCTTAATACTGAAATAGATGTTTATACATTTAAGTCACCTTCATATCTGTGATGCCTATTTCTTCTCTGTATTATAATGTAATAGCTGCCAGTGATAACTTCTCATAACTCTGAAATTACGGTATATTCTTATATCAATAATCATTTTTTTTTAAACATTTATTGACGCTTAAAATCTTCATGTAATTTACTGTTGTGTTCCGTAAATAAGAATTGTCTACGATACTTATAAAACTTGTAATTATTAAACAAATTTATAACGAAAGCTGATACCGCCTTTATCGACTGTATACTGCATCTGGTAACAGTTCAATGCTTAAATATACAGTAATTAATATCTATTTTAATTAATTAAAGTAAACTTGATAATTCCTGCATACATCTCAATTTTACTCATTCGTCTCGCTACGATCATTGTGTTTTTTACTGATGATACTGAGATTTTGAGTTATGCATAACATCAGTGAATAACCACAACACTAAAATTCAGCATTTCTAAAACCTTGTAAAAGTCGAGGGTATCGACAAGGTTTTAAAATGTGTATAAATACCTGTTTAAATGTTGTGGTTTTTATATGCATGGTCTAGACAAAAAGTGGCCAAAGACATTGAGTTGTACAATGTAATAAATAAATTCACAAATGTTTCCTTTTTTTTCGCGTGTCGTTTGTCATTGCATATATATTTACATTCTGTATGCTTAGACCCATTGACAAAAATTACATTCATAAATGCATAACACAGGTGTTCATAGAATCTCAGCACGTGGGAACTGATAGTAACCTGATCACACTGCGTAGTAATACACTACAAAAACTACTCACTCGGAACGACCGACCTAGATGCTTAATTCTTACATCTTAAAATATTATTGAACTGTGCTTTGTGAAATATCCACGTATTCACGTGTCCTGTGCTACAAATAAACATTGAATATGGAACTACATTTTGTTGTGTTATTGTTGTTGACGGTTGCTAAGATCTCTCACGATAGTGTCACATTTCCCCGCGAAAAAACACTGTTCTCGCCACTGCGTTGCACCCGTGTATAAGCAGGAACAAACCCTGTTTATTTGTTTTATTCGTTGTTATATCGATCCACTGAAAGGATTCGTCAATGTAAATATAAGGAATGATATTTATTTTTTCAACATTTATGAGGTCATAACAACAATGGGTTTTTGGACATATTTTACATGAATCGCTAACGCGATTCATTCAATATGTCCATAAACCCATTGTTGTTATGACCTCATAAATGTTGAAAAAATAAAAATCATTCCTTAAATGCACTTTATGTAAACATTTGAAAAGGGATATTCGTCTCGTGAATATATGTTTAGCCCCGTCCCACGTGTACCGGTCACATTCCGGTATTAAATTCGATATATATTTATATATATCTACTTTATGTTTATGCCTATTATCATTGTTGACATTTAACTGTTAATGTATGACGGGAGAAGGCTGTGATAAATTGTAAAAACATGTGCCCCATCCCTTGTTTAATTTTATTTGCAACAAATTTATGTTTAATGCTAAATAAATTTAAATTATGAATATTGGCAAGTGTGCAATTAACTTCTGATGGTGAATAATTACTGTTCAATAAGTTTGAATACGGACTTAGAAATCGTATTACTTGCTTTCATAATGCGGTAAGAGGTTGCAGTTGCCTGACGGCCCCTCTCTGGGGGCCCGTTTGGAAACTGTTTACTGCCTAGTCAGGTGACGTTATCGGCGCTATTTTTAGCAGGGCTTTCCCGAACAATTCAAGTGGTCAAACTGGACATTTGGAACGGACTATGAATATGGGGATAGCGAGGTAACATAAGTGGAGGTGCATACAATACATACATTCATTAAAAAATATGGCTCTTCACGTAATGTCCCCAGTTGTTTTTCTTGTTTTTCTATAGACATATAGCAACCCAAACAACATCGCCCTTGTCTTAATCTTAATCTTACTTTTGTCAGGGGACATACACACAAATCCAGGACCAGCAGACAATTTTTCTTCAACTAACGACTCCGACTCCCGACAATATATCCTTTTCTGTTTATTCGTAGCGTTAGAAATAAAATTGTTTTTCTGGAGAGTTTTACCGATGACGTAGACATATTGTGCCTAACAGAAACACATCTCGATCCTTCCATCCCTGATTCTGACCTTCTTCTTACTAACTTCTCAACAATATTTAGAAAAGACAGGAACGCTTTTGGTGGCGGTGTAATGAATTTTGCAACTAAAGACATACTGCCTAAACACAGACTTTATATTGAATCACCGAATGACGAAATAATTTGGATTGAATTTTGTACTGATAATAAGAAATATCTTCTGTGTACAAACTCCATGGCAAAACACCAACTCTGGAATTTGGACTCGACTGAAACATTCTTTTGACATAGCTTTTGACTACACTCCTCATGTTATATTAACAGGGGATACTAACATTGACTAATTAACAGGAAATAACAATGATCTTAGCATTCTAACACAGCAATATAATTTAACCAACCTGATTACCAGTCCAACTATAGTAATAAATACTACACAATCCCTTATAGACCCATTTTACATCAGTGATACTATATCCTACGAATCATCCATTGTTGTACCAGTTTTAGAAGCTATTAGTGACCACAGAACTATAATTGTGTCAGTGTCATCCTGTCTACCAAAACCAAAGTCTTTTAAGAGGAAAATATGATTATACAACAGAGCAGATATTTTAAATCTTAAAAACAGGGGTAGGACAGGTAAATTGGATAGATTTGTTTTCTCATGCGGATAATGTAAGCGAAAAATGTAATCTGTTTACTGACAAAATTATTTCTATTTTAGAAAAACATATTCCTAAAAAAATGTAACTGTAAATAAAAACGACAAACCATGGATGAACGGAGATATAAGAAAAGAAATTAAACGTAGAAACAAGTTAAGGAAACATTTCATCAGAGTTAAAATACCATTGTCTGAAGCTAAATTTAAACGTGCACGAAACAAAGTAAATAATATACTGAAACATGCAAGAGCACTTTTTATACTAATGTAGATGGACTTATCAATGATAGCTCAGCTAATCCTAAAGCATACTGGAAACTAATGCGTATGCTTTAAAAAGGTAACATTTCTACCGATATACCTCCCTTACTAAACCCTACAAATAACCGCTTGACCAGAGACGACTATGACAAATCCAATATTCTAAATAACTTCTTTAAATCTGCCTCTGACCTTGATGACCATAACGACGATATACCCTATTTTGACAACCAAACAGACGCGTTCCTTACTGAAATTGTATAATCAATATTTTAGACACTAATAAAGCTGCTGGTCCTGACGGCATCAGTCATAAAATGTTAAAAATGGTATCCAATGAAATATCTGCACCCCTCACACTTCTATTCAACGAATCCTTTCGTACTTTTGTATTTCCTGATTCATGGACACTTGCCCATGTGACACCTATTTTCAAAAAGGGGGAATCTGAATTGGCAAATAACTATAGACCCATTTTTTTTACTTAGCTGCATTGGCAAACTTTTCGAACGAATAATTCATAAACTCATCTATAACTTTCTCTTCAGCAACAAACTTCTATATACTTTACAGTCTGGCTTCTTACCAAATCACTCTACAACTCACCAACTCATCGCACTCTATCATAGCATACTTACAGCTATGGAGAATCGTGAATATACTGCTCTTGTTTTTTGTAGCTTTTCTAAAGCTTTCGACCGAGTCTGGCATAAGGGTCTATTGATTAAATTAGAAAAATACGGGATAAAAGGTAAGCTTTTAGATTGGATTAAAAACTACTTAAGTAACAGACGCCAGTCAGTGGTACTAAAAAATGCTATATCTTCTGAAGTATCTATCAAAGCCGGATTCCTCAAGGTTCAGTGTTAGGGCCTCTTCTTTTTCTTGTATACATCAACGATATTTCAAATACATTACTATCAATGACTAGCCTTTTTGCTGACGACACCGCATTAGCACACTCTTCCAAAAATGTACACGATATAAAACAAGTAATTAATAACTATGAAATGGAACAAACCTTTGGTCAAATAAATGGTTAATGAATTTCAACCCAAATAAAATCGAAATACTCTCAATTTCTAACACAAATATACCTTCTAACCCACAATTTCTTTTCGACAGCATTGTGAAATACCACAAACACCTAGGAGTCATTATTAGTAACAACGGCACATGGAACTCTCACATTGAACACATATTAACAAACACTACAAAGTACATTGCAACCTAAAGGAAATTAAAATGCATCCTGAATAGAAAAAACTTAGAATAGAAAAAATATACCTTGTTTTTATAACACCACTATTTGAATATACCTGCGAAGTATGGGACAATTGTAATATCACATTTTCGAATAAATTAGAGAACATGCAGTATGAAGCAGGTCGAATAATAACTGGATTACCTATNACAGAGGGCTCGGATGGAAATCATTGACAGATAGACGCAGGATTAGAAAATTATCCATGTTTTAAAATATTTATCATGATAATGCTCCCTCATTTCTAAAATCTCTTCTACCACCTATTGTGTCAAACTTCTCTAACTATAATCTTAGAAACAGGAATAACTTTCAGAACCTATACTATAGACTGCAAGTCACAAAATCATCCTTCATACCAAGTACTTCAGACTCCTGGAATAATCTACCAATAGAAACAAAGTCATCAGAATCCATTAAACAATTTAAAACTCTTATTCAACCTGAAGTCACTAGCCCTTCTTATATCAAATGTTTTCTTGAATATGGGTCCAGAAAAGTAAATATTATACATTGTCAATTACGAAACCGCAGTAGCTCTTTAAATTACGACCTTTTTAAAGCTCACCTTCGAGACAACTTTACTTGCGACTGCGGAAATGACTCGGAAGACTCTTCCCATTTCTTACTAAACTGTAAAAAACCCAGATCAATCCCGTAATGTAATGCTTCAATCCCTCGACTGGTATAACGAAATCACTGTTGAACACCTTCTCTTCGGAGATGCAAATTTTGACTACAATCTTAACATTCAATTTTGTAGGTCTGTACAAGTGTTCATTTTTAGCTCCAAACGGTTTAACATGTAATATTGAATAACCAGGATACCTACTTCGACTATTCCCATCTGTCTCTCCCCTCCACCTCCTCTCTTATTCCAGCCCCTCTCCCCTCCACCTCCTCTCTTATCCCAGCCCCTCTCCCCTCCACCTCCTCTCTTATCCCAGCCCCTCTCCCCTCCAACTCCTCTCTTATCCCAGCCCCTCTCCCCTCCACCTCCTCTCTTATTCCAGCCCCTCTCCCCTTTTCCAACACCAACGATCTCTGTGTATTAACTTCAATCTTAGCGTCCATCAATATCATAACCGTTTCCATATGACAAAGAGCGCATGTCCGGTTTTCCTAATCTAGTCGGCTAAGTATGTAAGGCAGGAATTCACAGAAGGACTTGGAGTGACCAAGAGAAAGGCAAATGCGGCACGGAATGTGATTGCACTTTAGAAAAGCAGAAGGATATGTGTGTATAGATTAGGTATACTACTTACGCCGACTCGATTAGGAAAAGTCCCACGCGCGATCTCAAGTAAACTCTCCGAATACATATTTATAACTATACGTTGGTGTCCCTAATCCTATCATTACCTTTTTTGCTGTAACCCATCTTTAACATCTTATAAATGTATACATATATAAATTTGTTTTAGGTTATTACGTGACACATTAATTTTGTATATATATTTTCTGTTGCGGAAAGGACGTAAGTAAGTTGCAATAACTTTTGTCCAATCCATTTGTCTTTCGTTACAATACTATTGATTTAAACTAAATGTACGTGTCTCTATATATAGCAATGTACATCGTTTTACTCAGACTTTTGCCATTGATCGGTCTTACGTACATATAGAGGTTCCCCAACGAGTGATGGTTGGTTATCATGTTTATCTAACTCGAGTTAGTTTATTTTCAAATTGTATGAAGGCACGAGGTTTACCGAGTGTCTTTTACAATTTGAAAATTAACTAACGAGAGTAACCTACCATTACGAGTTTGGGGTCCTTTTTTCTCCCATAACGTTCATATTTTATCTGGAAAGCCATATGTTTCCCTTGCAAATACACTGTGTCGGCTTCCGATGGGGGAGAAACAATTGCCGAGAATCATGACGTCACAATGGAAGATGACGCCGCAAAGGACTGTGACGTGACGTCATAAATAAAAAAAAAAGACCAATGAAATCACGTCCAGGGTGTTAGTTGGTAACCAAAAATGTTTACCAACTCCTAGCAGGTTTATCCAATGAATCGGGATGGGGAAACCTATAGTGGTTGTGGGAGAAATAATATTTACGTCTCTGCCAAAGACTAGCTTTAAATTCGACGATGGGGAATATTAATCTGCCTCTCTCAGCTCAGCAATAAACTCGGGATTGATAAGGAACAGAATAAAACCATTTAAGTTGTATGAGAACAGAAACAAATATAGCTTAATTTACGATTATTTAACTTATATTGAAGAAAAAAGTTATGCCGTCACAATTATTAAAACATCCGAACAGACCTAATTTCACGCGGTCACATGGTGCATACGAAATACGTTACCCTAAAAACGGCATAGTAAAGTTTTTCATTTGATTCGTTCATAGATCACACACTATTGATAAGGTCATCAATGCGGTAACTTTTGTACCCGGGAATATATCCTGGCATTATTTTCACAAACAAAACTAGTATAGTTCAACACATGCAACTGAACAATTTATTCAGCAAAAATCAGTTTGGATTTTTCCCCGGAAGATCAACAACACTTCAAATGTTAATCGTCCTAGATGAGTGGACTCATATGTTGGATACGGGAGGAGAAATTGATGTCATTGATATGGATTTTATGAAAGCTTTCGACAAGGTACCCCATCGCCGTCTAATACACAAGCTATATAATTATGGAATCAGCGCGAAAACTGTTAAATGGATAGAAAACTTTTTAAGTGATAGACATCAAAAACTAGTGGTTAACGGATCTACATCCAAATTACAGAACGTCTTAAGCGGAATTCCTCAGGGGAGTGTCTTAGGACCAATACTATTTGTTATGTATATCAATAACATGCCCGAGAACACTGCGTCATCGTGCCCTCTATTCGCGGATGATACTAAATTATACCGCACGATACGAACTGATGAGGATAAGGAAATTCTACAAGCAGATTTGAATAATCTTCAAAAATGGTCTGATGATTGGCTTCTGAAATTTCATCCGAATAAATGCAAGGTTCTTCAGGTTAAAGGATCACCAAACAATAATAGAACATACCGTCTCGCGAGCAAAACTGGAGAAGTCGTACTTGACAAAATCAACAGTGAAAAAGATTTAGGAGTAACGGTGGATGCAAACCTGGACTTTCGGACCCACATTCAAAACTCAATAAACAAAGCTAATTCAGTACTCGGGATTATTAGAAGATCATTTACTTTTTTGGACGAATCGATTTTTAGACAGTTATTTAAGGCTCTGGTAAGACCGCATCTAGAATACGCAGCCAGTGCGTGGATCCCCCGGAGTCCGTATAAACTTAAAGATATCCAGATGATAGAGAATGTACAACGGAGAGCCACTAAGCTTCTACCTGGATTTAAAGAAATCTCCTACGAAGAACGTTTAGAAAAAATGAAACTACCGACACTAAAACACCGAAGGACTAGAGGTGATTTGATTAACGTTTTCAAGATTGTGAAGAGGAAGTTTGATGAGAAAGTCACGTCAGACATATTTGTCTACGATAATTGGAAAATTAAACTAGTCTTCCACTGGAAGACGAAGTTTGATTAAAATTCTGTAAAATCAACATCTACTGAGGGATCAATTGAGATGACGTAGAGGTCACGTGGTTCAGTTTTCAGAGATAACATGAAGCATCAATAAAGTGATAAAATATATCTATACATATAATGTATAGAGGGTGGGAATGCCAAGCGGTGGGCAATTGATCCCTCAGTAGATGTTGATTTTACAGAATTTTAATCAAACTTCGTCTTCCAGTGGAAGACTAGTTTAATTTTCCAATTCTGTAAAATCAACCTACTGAGGGACCCCTTGAGATATCAGAGTTGATGCGTTCATGTTGTAAAATAAGTAAAACAACCAAATGTAAATGTTTAACATTTGTAATATAAACTTTTAACGCATGTACATTTATATACAACACATAATAGAATTGTGAGAAGTCTATTCTCCGATATTTGATGGAGGAGCAAACTGCTCCAAAAGTCTAGTACCCGTATTTATTGTCCCAGTCGACTGAGTCTGGGATGAAGGAATACAATAAAACCTTCGGAAAGTACAGTCTGTACTCCATCCCGCAGTCTGTAGGATGGTTGTGATCGGCACATTCGCAGTTTTTGCTGCTGTCATTGATGCACTCCTGGTGCTGTGCGGTTTGTACACCGACGTGTCTATACCCGATTTTGCTAACACAAGCTAAATCCAATTAGCAATAGTTTGTTTGGAAACTTTACTATGCGGTGATACCGTACTAATCAACAATTGTGTCTCTTCCTTCCGCAACACTTTAGTCCTCTTCAGGTATTCTTTAAACACAGTTACCACACATAATGATAAGTCTGCAGGAAAAGCCTGCAATATGATAGGCGCCAAATGTCGACCTGGTTTTGATTGTTTCAAAAGATCTCCAATAACAATTGTCACTTGAGATTCGGTCAAAGTAATATTCCTAATGTCTAAAACATGAAGTGTCTGGCATCTTTGTCCTGTTAATAACGCTAGAAGCATGACTAATTTAAATGTCAAAAATCTAAGACTAATAGTATGTACAGGTGAAAGAGTTTGTAAATATTGTAACACTATTGAAACACTCCATGTTGTGGAATATCTTGGTAATGCAGGTCTTATTTGGTATATACCTTTCATGAATCTTTTTATGAGTACATTGTTTATAAAAGAGATATTACCAGCCAATTCTAAAAATGAATTTATACACGACCTAGCTGTATTTACACTACTATATCCCAGTCGTTTGTTGAACATTACTGATAAGAATTTAAGTATGTCATTCACAAATGGTTGCAGCGGATCAACTGTCCCTTGCTCGCAAAAAGACAACCATCGGCGGATATGGACCCCATATTGTCTCTGGGTGGATGTCCTCCATTATGCAAGAATGATGGAGGCAACTGGCGACGAAACTCCCTGACGTCGCAGGCTCTCCCTGATAACTTGCATGCTATCAGTCGTAATTTCTGCATTGGATGTTGCCTGGTTGGGTTGTTCCGCAACTGTAGCAATGGGCATGGTAACCTGTTGGGCAGTATTACCGGTGGGGCTGTTACCAGTCTCAGAAGTTTCGGGAACCATGGCTGTGTGGTCCACAACGGTGCAATTAGTATCATCTGTGTCACATCTTCCTCCACCTTCTGCAAGACTCTCCCCAGGAGACTGAAAGGTGGAAGAGCATAATAAGTTCCATGTGACCATGATAAGCTAAAAGCATCTACAGCTATAGCTGTAGGATCAGGTAGATACGACACATACGAAGTCACTTGGGCATTGATTCGAGAAGCAAACAAGTCTATGTCTGGTATCCCGAATATGTCACACACCTTTTGGAAAATATGTACATTTAAACTCCACTCAATGTCATCGGAGATCTTTCTCGACAACTTGTCAGCTTCAACGTTAGTGACACCTGGCAGGTAACACACAGACAACCAAATGTCACGTTCCTTGCACCACAACCACATCTCTCTAGTGAGGTCATGTAAATAAGGTTTCTTACCACCCATGTTATTAAGATAGTTTACTGCGACAGTGTTATCCATATAAAGTCGCACATGAATGTTACGTTTTAAATTACAGAAACACTGTAGAGTAAGAAAAGCTGCATATAATTCAAGGTAATTTATATGGTTTTGTTGTTCACTGTGAGACCAATGTCCCCCTGTCTGTAATTGATCATGTCCGTCACCTTTCACAAGGCCTCCCCACCCTGTGCCAGAACTGTCCGTCTCTAAAACAAGGTCAGGGGACCCGCGGTACACTGGATTAGCACTCTGATGAATGTTATTAATCCACCATAATACCTGCTCTCTAGCTTCTGTGGAAATACGCACTGTGTTATTAAAATTCCCTTTCGCTAACTTAAGTGCACTGTCTTTTTCATGTTCCAACGTTTTATAAAATAAAGGGGCATGTGGAACTGCAGGAGCACAAGCAACCATTTTCCCAACGACTTGTGCTAGATGTCTGATGCTAGTTACTTTAGTGTTCAAGAGCTCCTGACACACATGGACTACATTGTCAGCTTTTCCCTTAGTAAGACATATTGTCATAGTTTCTGAGTTTAACACAAAACCAAGGAATGTTATACATCTAGTAGGCCTAAGTACCGACTTTTCAGGGTGAATGGTAAGTCCTAACGAGTCCATAGAATCAACGGTAGCCTCTATGTTAGCTACACATTGGTCATAAGAGTCTGCCTGTAATAAGCTATCGTCAATGTAGGATACATTAGCATGACCTAATTTTCGAAGATGAGAAAACACCGGTTTCATAATCTTTGTGAAGACTCGGGGCCCTGAAGACAACCCGTTGGGTAAACAGGTAAACTGATAACAGACGTTGCCCCAGAAAAAACGAAGATATTTCCTATCATCCGGACTAACCGGCACCGAGTAGTAATTATAAGCGTCTTTCAAGTCAATTGAAGCGAACCAGCAATTTTTTATCATTAAAGTGATTCCTGATTTTAGTGTTTCCATTTTGAAGTGTACATATTCCACATCATAATTCGCAAGTGTGTGGGGTCAAACCCCGAAGTCAGTGACCCGAACACCGAAAGTAAACAAACCTTGTAAAGCAACCACGTGCTGATACCACGGTTGAGTCCACTATAGAAAGAGTCCTGAATAAACACTCTATCCTGTCGTAGTTGTTACGAAGTCTGGCTCTGTTGAATTTCCGTTGAAATGTTAAGTTTGATTTATAGATTTATGAATACGTCTTTCTGAACCAAATAACTCTCTAAGCACCGAACCCCGTGACCTCTACGTCATCTCAAGGGGTCCCTCAGTAGGTTGATTTTACAGAATAACGAAAGAACACGAGGACATAAATTTAAGCTGTATACACAACGATGTAGTACAGAGCTAAGGAAAAACTCGTTCACGTTTAGGGTAGTTGATATCTGGAACGGTCTACCGGAATCGGTTGTAAATGCAGAAACCACGAAGACTTTGAGATCCTGTTGGATAACCATCTGAAGGACACTATTTACAATAATTACTGATAATGACTTTTAAAATAACTCTTTTGGGAAAGTTTATATATGTTAACCAGTGACAATATAATATTTTTATACTATGTTTTGTGATATGGACTTAGAGGCTTTCAGCCTGCGTCCATTATTTTTCAATTAAATTCAAAAACTAACGATAAACCATTCCTTTGGCCCAGTTGTTCAAAGACAAATTAAGTTCGTTTTACATGTATACACCTCATTTGAAAATGTATTGAAAGGATTTGTACCATAATACCACGGAATTAGATGCTATCTAAGTCCTTGATAATACATAATATTACCAAAGGAAGGGTTTATGTGATGAAAAGCAGTTTTTTTTTTATTTCTTACAATTTGTAATTAAAAAATTATTCATGTTTGATAGACATTGGCAAGCTTGTCGTAACCTTGATGGACACATATCTCTTTTGATTAGTGACATGGTTCATAATATACACACTTTACTAATTAATTTTATCTCAATTAATTTTAATTTAGTTCCCCATCAATTTCACAATACTGTTCACAATTATATGCATACTTTTAATCCTACAAGTGTTATAAGGTTGTGCTTAATTTCGACAAAACTTCAAATGTTTCTTTTGCACTCATAATAAATTGTATGTATCGTTTTCAATCAAAGTGTTCTGCAAAATGTTAAGTTATTTATTAGCACTGAAAAAGACTTTGTTAGGATAACTGTTAAGACTACTGATTTTGTTTTGTTTTTAAAACGGGTCTTCATCCAACAGTAACACAATAACAAATATATACCTATATACAATGTACTTACAATAACAGACATAAAGATAAATATTTTAATGATCTTGAGCATTCTTTTGGCAAGGAAGGTAACTATTTCATATTTTATTTCTCCTCTTTGGTAGAATGGTTGAGGCAAAAGGGGACTAAATCTATACAATCTTCTCCTTCTGAACGGATGAAGAGATTTTAACAACTTTTTCCGGTTTTAAATATTTCCATTATACATTACCCTAGCAAATTCAGAGGCATTTATATCAGCACGGAATTATATTAGTCCGTTTATCTAACGTCTAAGTCCGTGATATCTTAAAAAAGACCTGGAAGACTACATTAGGATAGAACAGGTAATTTACAAAAAGAATATGGATTACAACAAGTTCGAAAATAAATGGTTCCAAATAATCTAACTTAATTGCCTTATAGACATGCTAGCGGTATTAAGCATTTTGTAATGAGTGAATGGATGCATGAAAGTTGTATGTTATGTGTGTAAAGTAAAAAAATAAATGTCTATTTTGCAATATAGGTATGTATTGGTACTCTAGTTGTAATAAACACAGCAGCATATATAATCGAACAAAAGTATATCTCTACTCTTCAAGGCAGAATCTGAGTGTAACAAATATATAATCAAATTGAAACTTTCTCTCGCATTGATGTACCCCATTGTAAAATTGTGTTGTCATTGTCATTATATTATACAAAAAGGAAAATAAAAAAGTGTCAAATAAAAAAAAAAGGTCCGTGATATCAGCTAGCATAATTAATTATATAATTTATAAAAAAGTATGGACTCAACTTTATCTCACTATAAAGAATATTTATTCTCGGATAAAATATATATATAAAATAACTTTTACTTAAGGAAGGGTACTAATTTGTTCTGTCTATTTTAGTCTGCAAAAAAACTGTTTGATTAGTTACGGAATGTATAGTGGAATTAATTTATTGTCGAAGTTTAGCAAATCAAACACTTTCTGACGGTTGTCTAAATCCGGATTTCGATTACCGTGATTCCAGTTCAGCTATTAGAAATCTTTGAAGTATCTTCGTGATCCAGATATTAGTCCTGATCTTGGAAATGTTTTAAAGATGGCGTTAAATATTTTCGTGTAATGTAAGTATACAGTTACAAGACAAATCAGATACATTACAGAGGGGGTTAAATACGTAACTAGTAATTCAACATCTGAAACATGCTTTGAGTCTATTTGAGCATGACTGATACGGAAGTTATTCAGCACATTAGTGAAGAAAGATTGGCCCTTCAGATGTAAACAAAAACACGTGGTCTCCTTAGGCTTAGCATAAGTTAGTACGATTTGTAATATGACTCAGGCCTGGAGAGAGCGCAGCTCGTATATTTTTTTCCAATAGTATAGTATAATATACTTGAATCTGTTGCTGGGCAAAATCATTCATTTTGAAAACAGGCATTGTCTGAAACAAGCGAAGCGTCTAAATGCTGTATTTTTTCAATCTTATTTTCTAAATAACATTATCAAAAATATTATCTTATTCGTTTTATAGCGATAATTATTATGAAATTAATAAGTAAAGAAGAGCATTCGAATGAATTATGTAGTTCAAGAGAAAACACAAATGTATTTGGTACTGTTGCATTTAATTGCCCCGTCTATGGCCTTAGCGTAATGTTGCGGAAAGAATGAGGCCCAGTAGAGGGACTTCATATTTGAAAATGTATTGTTTATCAAGTATAACTGTTCTTATCTGTTATTGTAAAAGTTAAGTATATGTGTGATTTAATTCCAATTTTATATTTTCAATGATATACTTTGCCTGATCCCTCTAAATGGTGTAAAAAGAGAATCACAATAGCCCAAACATATTTGGATTTCCGTCCGGTAGTAAATAAGTCCGAATTATTCTGACGTTTTATCGGCTTTTTTCATATCGGTCTGTCATCGATTAACGTCAGAACTCCGGCTCTCTATAATATGTGGGAAATATGCGCCCCGCACCCGGAGCGCACTTCCAACTGATATTTTAGAAACAAATCGTCACTTTCACACACATGTCGCACATGGATCGAAAGATCTATTCTTTATGGACTAGGTGGTATCAATAACATGTTTCAAAGATCATTACGAAAAGTATTTTCCAACGTTTTCCATACCAACCCATGTTTTTAATGGAAATTAGGCCATGAGCAATGTGACATGACTTGATGAGATCCCCCGTTACCGAAGGTAATTCCCAACGTTATGACGTAGGCCTGCGATATTTTAGTCACGTGGCATTAGAAGCCGGGGCTATAAAAAAACTAGAGTAAAACAGAGTAAGTTTGAAAAAATATGTTTTTAGTGATTGTTTTGGTTGTTTGGGGCATGTTATGTACATTTATGTTCATCTTGTGCATAAAGAATAGATCTTTTGATTCATGTGCGACATGTGTGTGAAAGTGACGATTTGTTATATTGATTATGGAATTTGTAATCGATAATAATAATCAGAAAGGGCAAACTGATTATTTTTCAATTGTTATCGATCATCAGCCCATCAGTATTTAATAGGATATGTTTTCCTTTCAGTGATATGAAAAAGTAACAAAATGGAAGAAAATTTTCCAAGAGGTGGTAGCAAAAAAAGAGTTAAAAAAGATTCTGTATCAGTACAAGCAGAAGAAAAGGACCTTTTCCATGTAAGTATCTGTTAATTTAAAGTAACGAATGTATATATGTAACAGCAGATTGTACATTTGTTATCACATTCTAAACTGAAAATCTTATTGAGTTTGTCCTTTGGTATGGTGAAATCTCTATACAACTTCTTGTAACAAGGATCCAGCTTAAGCTGAATTTACCTTATGCAAAATTTTAACATTTTATAAGACTTGAATTTTTGTAGAAATTTTTCATGCGAGTCCAGGTTTTTTTTCTCTCTAAATTTTGATGAGTCCCTTTAATAACATATAACGGATGCTAAAAAAAATGATGAGTCCCATAGGGAAACCATGAGTTTAGGACTCAAATACCATGAGTCCCAAAAATTACTGTCAATTTGTACGAAATCTTTGGAAAATGGACTATCATTTAAAATTATATGAATCATTTGCCCCATTTGAAAAAATGTTAACTGCATATATGTGAAAGATAAATGATAATACATTTTTACCAAATACATAGCTTATGGGTGTTTTTGGTTCAATCAAAGTATAACTTTTCTAATAAACTGCAAAATGGGCTAAATTATGGAATGAAGAATACAGTCAATATTCAATTTTAAAGATATGATGAACATTTGAAGCATCCATTTTACATGTGAATTAAAGGTTTTACTAATTCTAGTTATTTTGTTAATTGAATTTGTAAGGAAAACTGGCCATATATATATATGAATTATTTCATCCATCTTGTATTTCATTTTGTGCAAATCAGACCTAGAAAGAGCATAAAAACCATCTCATTAGAATAACATAAGCATATTGTTATTGTGTTTATTCAGTCAGCAGAACCAGAACCAAAGAAGAAGCCAAAGAAGGAATTTGGAAAGGAAAAAAATGGGAAAATTGTAAAAAAAAATGATGATACTGAGAAGATTGTTGAGAGAACATGTGCCTTGAAGAAAAATGTGAGTAAATGTTGTGTGTTACTTTCCACTTTTGCCACAAATTAAAAAAATGAATCTTGCAAAATGTCCCAATATAAGTTTACAGAGTGTTAAGTGTTTTGAAGTCTAGTAAATTATACAAAAATTGGTAAAAACGACACAAGAAAAGTTACATTTTGCCCTAATATTTTCACTCTATTTTCTAAGCTCTTCAGGTTTGTATTACCAGTACAAAAATGTGTGTTATGGATTACTCCATCTTTGCTAGCCTAGTGTTCGCTTCGTATACACTCCACTTACCCTTGGTGGATATAGCCGTGTTTTCATAATTCTCTCCACTGCCACCTAGCGGATAAACAGAGTTATCGCTCTTCTCCCAAAAACATTTAACCAATCAGAATGACCGTTACATACACACTCCATCGGCGTGTTGACATAAGCATGTGTATGTGGAGGTGGAGTATAAATGACACAGCAATGTGGAAACATATTTTCGAAGGTCATCATTTACATGTGGCACGAAGTTCCCCCCCAAAAGACAAAAGATTGTGAACCTTCATTTTGGAGTGGGGCGGGGGGGGCAAAACACTCTGACATAAACAACAACGTGCTTCCGTACAGGGCGGCGTCATTACTGTTTTCCTTCGTCAACAGCGCTCTATGTAAGATGCAATTTCATTGGATGCGAGCGATTGGCATCGTACGAAAATTTGAAGGCTCGGTTAACACGGCTATATCCGCCAAGGGTAAGTGGAGTGTATACAAAGCAAACACTTGGCTAGCGAAGATGGGATTACTCATCGTTGTTGACATTGCCTTTGGTAATTTAATAAACATTGGTATTTAAATAAGGCTTTAAATGTTGATTTTTCCACAGAAACTAAAGAGTTTAAAAATATCAAGATTCAAAAGATTTATTTAAATTTAACGTCTTTTTATCTGGCCATATGTGTAAAACAACTGAGAAGTCAAAGCGCTTCTGTGAAACAATGATCACATTGAATCACCGACTGGTATAGGATGCAATATATTGCAAATTAGATCTGTTATACATACCCTACAAACAATAATATCCTTTAAACAATAATATCCTTTAAACAATAATACCCTATAAACAATAAACATACCCTATAAACAATAATACCCTATAAACAATAAACATACCCTTTAAACAATAATACCCTATAAACAATAAACATACCCTATAAACAATAATACCCTATAAACAATAAACATACCCTATAAACAATAATACCCTATAAACAATAAACATACCCTATAAACAATAATACCCTATAAACAATAAACATACCCTATAAACAATAATACCCTATAAACAATAAACATACCCTATAAACAATAATACCCTATAAACAATAAACATACCCTATAAACAATAATACCCTATAAACAATAAACATACCCTATAAACAATAATACCCTATAAACAATAAACATACCCTATAAACAATAATACCCTATAAACAATAAACATACCCTATAAACAATAATACCCTATAAACAATAAACATACCCTATAAACAATAATACCCTATAAACAATAATACCCTATAAACAATAAACATACCCTATACACAATTATACCCTATAAGCAATAAACATACCCTATAAACAATAATACCCTCTTAACAATAAACATACCCTATAAACAATAATACCCTATAAACAATAATCATACCCTATATAACAATAATACCCTATAAACAATAAACATACCCTATAAACAATAATACCCTATAAACAATAAACATACCCTATAAACAATAATACCCTATAAACAATAAACATACCCTATAAACAATAATACCCTATAAACAATAAACATACCCTATAAACAATAATACCCTATAAACAATAAACATACCCTATAAACAATAATACCCTATAAACAATAAACATACCCTATAAACAATAATACCCTATAAACAATAAACATACCCTATAAACAATAATACCCTATAAACAATAATACCCTATAAACAATAAACATACCCTATACACAATTATACCCTATAAGCAATAAACATACCCTATAAACAATAATACCCTCTTAACAATAAACATACCCTATAAACAATAATACCCTATAAACAATAATCATACCCTATATAACAATAATACCCTATAAACAATAAACATACCCTTAAAACAATAATACCCTATAAACAATAAACATACCCTATAAACAATAATACCCTATAAACAATAAACATACCCTTTAAACAATAATACCCTATAAACAATAATACCCTATAAACAATAAACATACCCTATAAACAATAATACCTATAAACAATAATACCCTATAAAAAATAATACCCTTTAAACAATAAACATACCCTATTAACATTAATACCCTATTTATAAACAACCATAACAATATGATACAGTTTAATAAATGCTATTTATTAACTGTAGAGCTCGAGGTATGCAATGTTATCATGACCAACATTGTTGTATATGTTTTATAAATCAGCATACACATGTTTATACATATAACAGAAGAAATCAACAATACACAAATATATACATTTCATGATGATCTACATTTAGGTTTGGCCTTGGGGGCTATATCATACTACACATATATAAGCTATGGAAATATCACGGATTACTGACGTTATCCTACCAGGAGTGAACTGTCACCCCTTGTCCAAGGATATATCCCCCCAGGAGCGAAACGGTTGCCCCTGGTCCCAACGGCTGGATGAGATTTCCCATTATCAAAAACGGACCCCAATGAGAGGATATTCTGACAATCCTGGATCCAGACATGATGAGTAGCTCATATACCTGGATCCGATGAGAGGATATCTGATCAGGAATTTCCTGGGTCCGCATGATGTCTAGGTCTAATTTCCTGGATATAGATCCCATGAGAGGATATTTCCTGAATCCTGGATTGGCCACATGGGCCCCGTTAGCCCATGTTTGTACCAATCCCATGAGAGGATTCATCATTGTTGGAAATTCCTGGATCTATAGGATACCTAATTATAACTTATAGGCACCTTATTATGTAGGTATAACTGTATATTAACATGGGGGCTGAACACAACAACATATGTGTTGTGTACCTCCCAAATTGAAGCTGTATACCTTTCGTATTGCGATATGTGTGCAGCTGAAAAGCCCCCAAGTAGTATGTTTCTTATAAAATTATATAGTATCATATATCGTCTCTCTTATTGCATTTACTATTATGTCATAAGTTATACTATCTTATATATGAACCGTACATATATATGTTACAATACATGGTAATGCATATTTTAGAACTTCCACAAGATGATAAGTCACAATTCGTACATCTCCTTGTATATGTCTTCCACAAATCTAGAGTGACTTGGTTATAAATATCTCCATGTCCACAGTTCAAATTGTATTTGGGTATACACAGTTGGTGTCCAAGTCACCGTTTATGTATACATGTATGTCGTTCCACAGTTAAGGTGACCCTATATATAATATAAATCCAATGTCCACATGCGTCCATGCATGTTATACAGTAATTACGCACAATTGGCGTTATAACAAAAAGTCATAGTTCATGCATTTGTCATACTTATCTGAGCCTCCTTGATTGTGTTATGAGATGTCCTTATGTATCTTTGGTAACAGTCTGAAGACCACCTACCTAATGTTTTGATAAGGTGGTCTTCCACTTTAGCTCCAGCTGCAGCGGTTGCAGCCCCAATACGAAAGGAATGTCTGCTGTATAAGGTAGTATTGAGTCCAATTTTTTCTAAGTTAATTTTCAAGAATTGAATAAAAATATTCCTTGATAACGCTGTGCCCTCCCTGGTTACGAATAGGGGTGATGTAGGGGTCACATGATACATTTTTTTCCTGATAACGAGATATTTGCACATAGCTTGATGTGGGCACACTGATGACCTGTTGGCAAAAATAAGAATGTGTACACCTTTCCTACTGGGATCCGTTTTGGAAGATTTAAGACACAGCTTGAGTAGTTCATCGGACTGGATTTGTATATCACCTATACACAAATTAACACTCGGATCAAAGTTGTTTTGGTTAACGGTGAACTCTCCACACCTCAGAAATCCATAAAATGCCACACAACACACTGCCCGATACATCAGTTTATCGTGGTGGCTGTACTATACATCAGCAAGTGCCTCGTTAAATTGTTGCAAAATCTTGAATGTGATAGGTAAATGTTCTCTTGTTCCAAGTTTTTGACTTTTCTTTACACCATTGAGAAACAAATTGAGTCGAGGAAAACTGTTCCCTTCCTTATTCTCGAGAGGGTTTGTACCCCCATTAGTAAGGAAATGATATCTTATACCACATAGATACAGTTTGATGGTGGACAACTGAAGACTGAGAGAATGTACACAATATGCCACAAAGAAGATTAAAATATCCTCAGATATAGGTGGTAGGCTGTTAGTGATCCATGTTATACCATACATCACAAGGAATCTACAAAATGTTTGATACCCTGTAGAATATGCTTTTCTAGTGCGTTCCCCCATGGTCCTGGTCCAGATCTTGGCTGTTGTTTCGGTTAGTTCCACATTACCTCTGAGGGAGGAGGACACTTGCTTGGCTTCAATGTTGCTCTGGGTGCTAACTGCCGGAAACGATGCATCTGTAAACGAGATAGACTGTCAGCAATATTGTTTTGAACTCCCGGAACATGTTCTGCATGGAAGGTGAAATTTTGACTCGCTGCAAACCACGTCATATTCCTCATAAGTTTCATAATATGTAATGATTTTGATCTTCCCTTATTCACAATGTTAACAGTGGCGATGTTGTCACAATGGAAAAGGATCTTTTTCGTTCTCCAACTCTCACCCCACAAAACCACTGCTGCAACAATTGGATACAACTCCATGAATGCCATGGAAACTGATTTTTCCGAAGCAGCATGTATCTCATTTAATAAGAAGTCTGGCCATCTGACAGCAAACCAATGCCCGTTGTAATATGCACCGAAACCTATCGTGGAAGATGCATCAGTGTACAAC